AGTTTCTGTATGAGATGTTCCCAGGTCTCGCCCTGCCTTGGTCTTGGTCTTAACTTAATCTGGTCTTGACTACTACACTTGCACACAGAGAACATTTGACGTGAAATCTCAGAGGGATGAACAAATCAGCAATATAGTGTGGTGTGAAGCCAATGGAGAAAAGCCAGGGCTTGTGTAATATTATCCTCATTGTTGTTGTCTGTCAGAAGAGTGGCAGCTGCATTCTGGAGAGTTTCAGGCAGGGCAGATGGTGCTGAGAGAGTTACAGTTGTGAAGGACAAGGAAAGAGCAAGGATATTTAGCTATTTTTACATGGCAAGATGCATTAATCTAAATGGCAGATCAATTGCAGATCTCATTGATTGACTTGGTTGGGCCAGATATAATGCATTCCCTCTTATCATCATCTCGAAAAACCAATATTTAACCTCTTCCATGCTGTAATAGAGTAGATGATTAAATTGTATATGTTTACCTGGTTTGAGTGTTTTACATCTGTGAGTCATTAGCATGGAGTTGATTTTAAAAAATAAAAATAAAAAAGGGCTGCACGATATTGGGAAAAACTGACATTGCAATATTTAGTTAATCTGCATAAAAAATAATAAACAAATTACAAGCATAGATGCTCAGTTTACAAGCAGAGCAGTGCTTTGTGTTTTTCTAATTGATCAATAAATTAAATGACCAAATGTAAAATACACTGCATAGTCTTCACTGTATAAATGAAATATAATAATTTTTTTGTTAAAGCTACATAAGTGCATTTCTCTTTGTATTTTGTTATTTGAATAACGTTAATGACACAGGTTTATTCGGCTGCCGTCACTTTAAGACCGAATGCACAGATCCAATATACTGATACGCATCATAGTTGTTTACATTCACATTAGACACAAGAGACTCACTGTAAAAAAATATTTTCAAGATTTGTTATCACAACATTTTTTTCTTTTGTCAAATCAACTTAAATAATTTATTTAGTTGAGATAACTTATTATTTTGAGTTTCTGATGATTAAATCAATTTCCTTCATTGTATTAACTCACTTTTTCCAGTTCAATCAACTTAAATTTTTAAGGCAACCAGGTTACTTATTTTTTTTAAATTAAATTAACTATTATAATAAATATTTTTACTATAACTAAATATTTTTTTACAGTGCTGAGACGGACATTTTGACATAATTGTGTATGTATGCGTCAAAACAAGCACAAATTAGACGTGAAAAGGGGCATTCTGTATGTTTATTGTGGAGTAAACTGTATGCGTTTACATGGCTTTTTTTAAAAATGATTGGTGCATGAGTTTGACCAATCAGTGTATACTTGTCTGGGTTGTACCCTACTGTAAAGTAGGAGCTAATTTAGTTACGTAAAACCAAAAGGCGTTACATTCGTTCCCAGTTTCTGTGGTGACAACATGCTAAAAAGTGTGTTTTCTGCCATTGCCACTGGGAAATATGAAAAGGTTACGAAAGCCCCTAAAGAGAGCTGAATTTGGTGTTCGTATTAAGTTATCTTTCTTGTCTTCTTGCACTTGAATGTTCAAACTAATAGATCCTAAATCACATGCAAATAGTAAACTTTCAGTCTATATGACGTTTAAACTGTGCAAGTAATGTAACAGTGCACCCTGGTCCATACGGATCAACTTCCATCCCTATACTTGACATCGAACATCCCATGACGTGACTATCACGATATCGATGCTAAAACGATATATCGTGCAGCCCTAACAAACACAACACGCATACAGTGAAAATACAATACTGTAGGACCCAGAACGGAGCCCTGTGGGATACCACCGTTAAAGTCGCTGGAGACGAAGACACGTTTTCAAAACCTACAGAAAAGCTTCTGTCCTCCTTCAGGATTTGGTTGCCCTAAGCAAAGCAGACCCTGTGCTGTAGTAGTTTCTAACGTATCCAATAAACATGAATCAAAAAGTTGTGTGACTGGGACATTGTGGTTTCCTTTCTGTGTGTGGCTGAGGTCTATTTGTAGTTCTCAAATTATGGTAATGCGCTTGTCTTTCTTTTAACCACAAGCCATAGAGAACAATTACAGAGATTCATTTCCAAAACACACACTGACCTTCTACAAAGAATGTTAAAAATGCGAGATGAATGGCATTTGTTTTAGTTGGTGTAGATTGCGTACAGAGTGAACCTTCGGCTTCTGCTGGAGTTGTTTTGCTCCAAACGGTCTCAAACGGTGCATGTTCTGGTCCAAACGAATAGAGAGATTTGTCCAAACTCAAAGTCCAACAGCAGACGCACAATCACTGAACTCGTCTCTCTTGCCACGGGCAAAATCACCAGCGTTTTTAGATCTCGCCTTTGTTGCATTTTTTTCCATCTTTATTGCCATTGGCTTTTGGCTTGCTTAGTTGGGGACATTTAATTAATATTATTAATCTGCCCGCATTGACACCATAATATAAGAGAACTGAGCTGAACGATGACACCACGGTTTTCTTCAGAGCAGCTATATACAGTATATATATATATATGAAGTAAATTAATAACTTTTTATAACAAAAATGAAACGTCACTGAAATTACTTAAGCTGGACTGTGACGCTATTTTCTTCATGAAACAAACTTTGTTGCATTATTTTCCTGTTATAAGCTGCTTTGAAATACTCTGAATTGTAAAAAGCACTATATAAATAAATGTGACTTGACTTGACTTGATAGTGTTGCTATTAAACTAAATTGAATAACTCAGTTTTGTATGATGCGTATAAGTAATGAACAATTTTGTTAAAGGATATTATATCACAGTTTCCTGAACACGAGTTGGCATTAACATTGCAGAATGCAGTGTGTGATTGAATGTATTGCATCGGTGTACGGTTGGTAGTTTATGCTCCATTGGATGAATGGTATTCAACAACACTTCCTTGTACTGAAGCTTATTGTTTTGTCACATCCTCACTTGAAATGGTGTGTTTTGTAGCACTGATTGATTCATTGATTACAGCTTTGTGACTAAATTCCAGTCTATGGCTGAAGAACGAATCTCAGAGCGTTGGTCATGTGCATCTAATTACCATCATGCGTGTGAAATGGACTTTACAATAAGAGCAGGCCTGCAATTAAACATGTCTGCGCGCCAAAGCCTGTATTTGTGCAATGTTGTGTGAACAGAGAGAAACAGTTTATACTTCTTTTCTGTTGATTCTCTTTGTGTCTCTCAGTGTCAGACGGCACACCCACAATCCCTTCACTGACTGCCTCATACATACTGCGAATGATTATACCTCAATAAAAGGCCAATGTGAAGGCATTGTGGAAGGTAGATGACGATGCATTCAACTGGTGGAGTGGCTTGACAACTATGGACTCTATATAGGACTATAGGTCATTAGCATTGATATGATGAAAAGAAAAGTTGTGTTTACAAAAAAACTGAGGCCAAAGGACACACATGAAGTGAAAATAAAAAGGACCTAGAACTGAGCCCTGTGGGACACCATAGTTTAAAGTTGTTTGAGAGGAAGAAAACTCCCAATACAGATGGAAAAGTTTGACCTACAAATAGGATGAATAGGACTAGAAGCAAAGCAGACCATGTCTTATACAACATATCATCAAGCAAGCTTAGCATGAATCAAATTTGTGACGAGAACATTGAATGAATCTCAGATATTCATTCATAACCCTAAAATTAGAATTGTACGATTTAGAGCCGTACCGATCCATCGGCCGGCCGATATTATCGGCCGATATTCGGCATTTTCCATAATATCGGTATCGGCAGTTATAAATGGCCGATAAATGAATATTTAAAAAATAAAATAAAAAAAACGATGACACGCGCTTTAATCATCTCTCCTTGGCCTGTTATATTAAAAATTTATGTTTTACAATTTGCAGTATGATGTTATCTATTGCTAAATTATGGCTCATCATAGACTAGCTAATGCCACTATCATCAGTGGAAGACCGCTAACGTTAACATTAATGAGCTTGGAAACCACAATGAACTTTTTCTGCCTAAATAAAGTAATAATTACCGTATTTATAGCTAGCATATCTCTAGTTACAGTCCCTGCATTGTAAAATGTAAGTTATACTTGCGAGGAGTGAACATTTAGACATAGAGAAAAAGTATCAAACGTATCTTGTGCAGAAAAGTTAGCTTTTCTTTTACACGTGTGTGAAATCCAACAATATTTAATAAAAAAATATCGGCCGATATATCGGAATATCGGATTTTAAAACCCAAAAATATTTGTATCGGTATCGCCCTTCAAAATCCTTTATCGGTCGGGCTCTAGTTAGAGCCCGACCGATATATCGGCAGACCGATATTAGGCATTTTCCAAACTATTGGTATCGGCAGTTATAATGGCCGATAAATGAATATTTCTAAAATAAAATAAAAACGGACGAAACGCGCTTGAACCATCTCACGAGTGTTGGAGTTGTGTAGTTTGTCCACCAGAGGGCGCTCTACACCGTTCCTGTTGGCAACACTCGTTGAGTTGGTCACGATACATACATTGCTTGAATAACAATTAAAAGAACATCCCCATCAGTTCTCTCAACTCAAATAAGCAGGACAAAATTTGTGACTATCCAGTTTCAAATAAATAAATAAAATATCGGCCGATATATCGGATTTTAAAACCCAAAAATATTTGTATCGCTATCGGCCTTCAAAATTCTTAATCGGTTGGGCTCTACTGATAATATTCATAAATGTTTCTTGATCCTCATATTAGAGTGATTTCTGAAGGATCATGTGACACTGAAGACTGGAGTTATGATGCTGAAAATACAGAGTATTAAATTACACTTCACCATATATTCACATAGAAAACAGCTTTTATTAATAATTCACAAATATTACTGTATTTTTGATTAAATAAATGCAAATGAGCAGAAAAAAAATATTCAATCAACCAATAATGTAATCAGTCTGTTTTAAAGATCTTAATTGATAGAGAGCCCTAATTTAAATGCAGTTTCCCCTCTTCGATCTTCCTCAGCTCATCATCCTCGAGGACTATGCCGACCCGTTCGACGCCGCGGATCAGGCCGGCGGGTCCCAGACGGTCTCAGAGAAGCCAGCGGAGAACGACGGGTACATGGAGCCGTACGAAGCCCAGAAGATGATGGCTGGTAAGAGAATGGTGTTTTCATGCGTGTTCTGCATGTATTTGATCGTGAACTGTAAAGTGGCGTCTGGGAGAATGTAACGAAGCATTATAATGCATCTGGGCCTGATTAAAGTGTGTGGTAATCCATCTCAAGTCACTCTCTTGCTGTTAAACAAGGCTTCCACTTCGCTGGGAAATGTGGTGTCTAGTTTCCTCTTTCTGTATTAATGCTGTAAACCGAAAAACAAATGATAGTCTGCGGAAAACTTGCAATCCGAATCGGCTGATTTGCAGCGAAAAGGTCTATAACTCCTCCCTGAACATCTCACTGTATTATAATTAACAATTATATACAGTGTAATAAATCATGCAGTGGTGGAGGAAGTATTGAATCTTAGTACTTAAGTAAAAGTACAAATAACCAGATAAATATTTACTTTAGTAAAAGTAGAAGTTGCACAATGACAACCATACTTAAGTAAAAAGTACCTGATTTTAAATGTACTTTAAGTATTAAAAGTAAAAGTACTTGCATAACAATTGATTCTCTTAATGACTATTTACTAATGATTAATAAAACATTTAATTCTTTAACTTATTCAACCTAATACTCCTATAGTGATGTTCAATAATGATGGAAAAAAAAAAAACAAGCTTGCAATTAGGCAATATAAACCATGTTTATCCTTACTAACTTATATGTTTATAACTATGTTTGGCAGTAAACGCGATTAATTTATGGTGTAATTCTGAACCTCTTGGCTTGCCATAATCCTAACCAAACATATATTACACACGGTGTGTTTCCTATGCATGTAAAAACAAATTTCCGCGTATAAATCGCACGATAAACACACTGCGTGCGACTCGAGACGCATTTAGTTGATGTATCTATGGCAACCAAACGTCACTGGTGAGACAAACGTGCAACGAACGGACGGTCAGATTACGGTTTGGCAGGAAAAACTGATCAGAAAATGTAACAGAAGTTGTAGAAATGTAGTGGAGTAGAAAGTATAATAATTGCTGCAAAATGTAACAAAGTAAAAGTAAAAAGTATGCACTATTTATTCTACTTAAGTCAAGTAAAGATACGTGAAAAATGTACTTAAGTAAAGTAACAAAGTATTTGTACTTCGTTACATTCCACCACTGAATACATGTAGATGATCATACATTACAGTGTATATTCCAAACCAAACTAAGTCGTTTCACATCAGCAGAGCGAAATATGCTCAAAATGAGTTTATTAAGAATGCTTTCCAAAAATATGCAATAATATCTGACATCCGTTTAGCTTCATCAGCTCTTATCCATAAATGCGAGTCAGGCTGTGTTTCTTTGAAATCATTTCGTTTCTCTCGAACGCTAGCATCATTCTAGCTCTGATTGTTTCGCTAGCTCTTTGAGCAGAGCCGGAGGGATCGTGTCGTAAATCGTAGTTTCCCAGGATGATGTTTCGTAACTGGCCAGGACAGGACAGCTGGACCGTTCTCTGTTGATTTCTTCTATTGGTCTTTTGATCGGAGCCATCTGTCCTGTCACTGAACACGGGGAGGACTACAGCAGTCTGTACATGGACACGCGCGCTCGCTTCCAAACAGAAGGGGAGAGTAAACAGGCGTTTTATTGGCTCCTAGCTTGAATGTAATTACTGTCCCATATTCATTTCTTCTGTGAGAGGTTTGATGTGTTTGGCTCGGTGTCTACATGAACTGGACTTGTGCTCGTTCCCCTCAGATGGAAACGGATGGTTTGGTTTTGTTGGACTATTAGCCGAGATTCTGTAATCCCAATAATCCCACTGTCCGGATACAGTATACTTCCAGTCATATTCATGTGTTTGTTTATGCAAAATCTGTCACTCATAAATATATATTAATAATATAAATCTTGATTGTGCTCGATTGTCATGAAAATATTGTCAAAATTCAACAATTGTGTGTGTGTGTGTGTGAAATGACCATGGTGAGCGTTTGTTTGCGTAACACAGGAGACCTTGAGGATTGTGGGAAAGTTCTCACACAGAGATGTTGGAGTGTTATCACACACACACACACACACACACACACACTTGAGTTCAGGCCGGCAGGTCACAACAGCACTGCCTTCCTGAGACTTCAGACAAGTTTAAACACACACACCGCCTCAGTGAAAGTGTCAGTTTTAGTTCTGTGTGTGTGTGTGTGACTGAAAGAGAAAGGAAAGAAAAATGCAAAAAAAATTTCTCACTTCCTTGAAATAGTCAGTTATTCCACACACACACACACACACACACACACTCCTGTGATTCCACACACTCCTGTGATTGGTCGGTCAGTAGAATGAGCTGCAGGATCAGGCCTGTGATTGGTCGATCAGGAGAATGATGGTCTGCAGGATCAGGCCTGTGATTGGTCGGTCAGGAGAATGATGGTCTGTGGGATCAGGCCTGTGATTGGTCGGTCAGGAGAATGATGGTCTGTGGGATCAGGCCTGTGATTGGTCGGTCAGGAGAATGAAGAGCTGCAGGATCAGGCCTGTGATTGGTCGGTCAGGAGAATGAAGAGCTGCAGGATCAGGCCTGTGATTGGTCGGTCAGGAGAATGAAGAGCTGCAGGATCAGGCCTGTGATTGGTCGGTCAGGAGAATGAAGAGCTGCAGGATCAGGCCTGTGATTGGTCGGTCAGGAGAATGAAGAGCTGCAGGATCAGGCCTGTGATTGGTCGGTCAGGAGAATGATGGTCTGCGGGATCAGGCCTGTGATTGGTCGGTCAGGACAATGATGGTCTGCAGGATCAGGCCTGTGATTGGTCGGTCAGGAGAAGGAGAATGATGTGCTGCGGGATCAGGCCTGTGATTGGTCGGTCAGGAGAATGATGGTCTGCAAACTATAAACATCTACCCTATTAAACTTTTAAATATTTTTTTACATTTTATTATATATATATATATATATTTATTTTTTTTTCATTATATTTTACATGATTTACATAATTGTAAATCCAGTTTAGACATTTTAATAAAAAAATGAAAAGATCACATTTAAAAATAAAATACAATAAACATGCACATATGAATAATTTAAAATAAGAATGAATTTGGAAAATAAATACATAGATTTTTTTTTATCTCATGCCGACTTTCTCCTCCAGGAAGTTGTAATGATCTTATCCAATCATAATATCCAATCACTCTCTGCTCAATCTGGACAATAAAGACAAAAAGGAAAGAAAGAATCGGGTCAGTAAATGATCTCTTGCCGGTGCCGGTGGCTTTATAGAGGACAACAGCGTGATGCAGGAATCATCGTTTTTATATAATAGTTTTATACAAGAGTTGCAAAAGTTGTTCTGTGTTGTAATGAGAGGAGAGTGTGTGTCCTGTGTCCTTGATTACACACACACACACACACACACACACACACACACACACACTCTCTTTCTGTTTCTCCCTTTCCCATGTCGTTGTTCTCTCTGCTCTCAGACGAGCTGCTGCATGTTGTGTGCGTGCGTGCGTGTGTGTGTGTGTGTGTGTGTGTGTGACTCCTCGACTCTGAGCTCGTTCACCGAGGGCCGGAAGCGGAATAAGCCGAGACGAGTCGAGACACACACGAGCTGCTTATGTCATTCTCGGTTTAGTCAGCGCTGAAAGTATTTGTGAGTGATGACACACTTCCTTTGTGCCGTGGAGTGTGTGTAACACTACATTCCTAGAGGATGTGTGTGTGGTGTGCGATCCGCTGGGTGGGTGAAGCGGATAGTGGGCGTGAGAGTGTGTGTGTGTGTGTGTGTGTGTGGATGATGGCTATTAAGTGTCCGCAGCAGTGGGTCAGCATCAGTCCTCCCACTCGTTGAGTGATGTATTGCTCCAGTAATGTAACAACCGCATGAGTTTAAAGAGATGATGCTGAGTGTGTTACACTGGATCCGAGAGAAGAGAACACACTTTTAGCTCACGTCCCCATTGGCTCCTGCTTATATTATATATTATATTATATTATATTATATTATATTATATTATATTATATTATATTATATTATATTATATTATATTATATTATATTATATTATGTTGTTGTGTTATGTTATCTTGTGTTGCATTATGTTGTGTTTACACTATGTTATACCGTAACGAAACAATATACCATAATGTAACAAATATACCATATATGTATTTGTACAATATACCATAATGTAACAACATAACATAATGCAATACAACATGACACAACGACATAACGTATCATAGTGTAACGCAACACAGCATAACGTAACATATCGTGACAACATTACAACATAACATATAATGTATCAGCGTAAAGCAACATATCACGTATCATAGCATAACATAATGTAACAACATAACGAATCACAGCATAATAAAAACAATATAACGTAACAATGTAATGCAACACAACATAACGTAACATAGCATAATGCAACATAACGTAACAATATAATGGAACACAACACAACATAATGTAATGTAACATAACAAAGGAATGCAACACAACAGAACAGAACAGAACATAACAGAATATTAAGGGAACAACATAACGTCATATAACACAACATAGCGTAACATATTTCTTCCACATATATATTAATAAAAAATAATGGAGGATTCCAGATGATATTAACCCTTGTGCATCCTTGTGGACATTTTTGTCCTTTTCAGTTTTGTTTTTTTTGATCATTTTGCCTGTGTTAAAGCTAACTGCAAAAAACTTGGCACAGGTGTGTATTTTTATTGGAATTTTACTATTTCACCGTCATTTTCTTAAAAAAATATTTTTTGCATTAGGTACAAAAAAATACTCCCTCTCAGCGCCTTTTGGACAAAAATGTCCCCATTAAAACTGCCATTTTTAATCCCCGGTTCAGTTAACTATAAAATTATGCAATCTTTGTTAAGAGGCTTTCATTCTGATGGCAAGGCTTCAAAAATTTATTTTTTACTATTTTTTATCAGATCGTGTCATTTTTTTAAAGTTTGGCCTATAAACAAATATCGCTTTATTCCTGTTTTCTGCTTCGGCAT